GCTGGCCCTTTGCTGGTTTAAGCTGGCCCTTTGCTGGTTTAAGCTGGCCCTTTGCTGGTTTAAGCTGGCCCTTTGCTGGTTTAAGCTGGCCCTTTGCTGGTTTAAGCTGGCCCTTTGCTGGTTTAAGCTGGCCCTTTGCTGGTTTAAGCTGGCCCTTTGCTGGTTTAAGCTGGCCCTTTGCTGGTTTAAGCTGGCCCTTTGCTGGTTTAAGCTGGTCCTTTACTGGTTTATGCTGGTCCTTTTGCTGGTTTATGCTGGTCCTAATCAGCTTTATCAACTTGAGTTTCATTGCAAATATCCAGTAGGCTAATTAAAAGTTTGCAGTGGATGTGAATACTAAAGTCGGGCCAGCTTAAACCAGCAAAGGACCAGCTTAAACCAGCATCCCAGCGTCAAAACATACCTAACCAGCATATGCTGTTTTTTTCAACAGGGCTTGTGGATGAAACTCATAATCTTCACGCACAAACGCTGATGAGACGTCGCTGTGGTCATGTCTTCCGCTCGTGTTGCTAGCTTGAGCTAAGAGCTAGCCGTTTATATTTTTGGATGTTTTGTTTTTGCGTGAAATATTCCTTAACGCAATTTAAATAGCTGCTGCTGTTTTTTTCTATGTACACGTCCATTATTTATACAGCAGCCGTGTACTATGGTACTGTCGAATGAGTTTAGTCAGTTTCTACTGGTCTGTAGTTATTTTTACCTGTCACTGTTAAATCACTGGACAAAAACATTGCCGTTAAATACAGCTGTGGCTAGATGGTAACCCTTAAGGCTGATTTATACTTCTGCGTCGGACCTACGCCGTAGGCAATGCGTCAGTTTTCATTTATACTTCTGCGTCGTTGTCTGCGTCAATGTGCAGTACACATGCAAACCGCTAGTCTGCAGTGTCCATGGGCATGTTGCTGGTGTACCACGGCAAAAGCCGAAGAAGAAGCGGCTCGTCGGAGAAGCATTATATCCGTGACGGCGGCAAATAAATATCAAATCATTAAATCATTATTTAAAACTACAAAAAGGAGACAACAACGGAACAGGAGAAGATGGCATTCTTTCAATCTGCACAAGGACTTGTACCACGGCAGATCAACATTGTTTGTTGCGGACAACTACTGATGTATAATGCTATGTAGTATAATAAATGATAAGACACTTGTTCTTTGCTTTGTTTTATTTTATATAAGAAGGTGTAACATTAAAATATATTAAAGTGCACATAAACACACACAAAACTCAAGTACATGTGGAGGGAGTGGTTCTTGCAGACCAATCACAGCGCTTGCGGTCCGCGTAGAATTGACGCGCTGTTAGATTTTTGGAGAGGTGCACGTCAGGCTACAGCGTATCGGTGTGCGTCTATGCGTAAGCTACGACGTAGGTCCGACGCAAAAGTATAAATCAGCCTTTATTCAGTGAAACTTTTCCAGCGTTTGCTTGGAGTCAAAATTCAGGTTACCAACTAGCAATAACAGTTAAATTTCACCATACACTCCATTGGTTATGAAGAATCATTGGTTTTCTGTAAGTTCGGGATTGTTTGTTATTCATAGTGGAAATAATTTTATCACATTGAGAATATAATCAAAATGTGTTCATTTTCTAGAAAAGTGCCAAAAATAAATATCAAACCCACTGGTAATCAAAAAAACAACATTACGTTTGAGGTGTTTTTGCCTGGGGTATTTTGCTGTATCTGGGTTATAAAATGTTATTTAATTAAAATTGCACTGTAATTTCTTACTACTGTTTTCTCCTGTTTCAAATATATTTTAAATAGTAGTAACTAAGGGATTTATACAGATTAATTTAACATGGAAAAAATAAGTTATTAGATTTGTTTAAACTTTTCTTGGACCATTTATTCACTCTTTTCCTTGATTTTGATCTGACCACTAGGAGTGACAGGTATTATCTCATTTACAAATGGAACAATTTTAATAATTCCAGTTGAATTATTGAATTGAAAGCAATGGAGTTGTCGTGTTTTTTTCCCCATTTAATAAAAACTTTTCAAAGAACACAACTGCAGTATATTCTTAATTCAACAAAAACCTTTATTTTTCTTCGTCGCCCTTAAGAATCAAGTTCATGTACCTCTGATTTGCAAAGTTAAATCGAGTTTGGAGGGAAAATTTTTTTTTTAAATCAGTGCATGTCGAAGCATATCAGCTTCCATAAATAACAGCAAATTTGTACCACACTGCTTCCCAATAAATAATGAAAGCAGAAGTGAACATCGGATGTCAAAAGCACACGTGGAATTAGGACTGAAGAAAGAAATGGGAGTTATAAAATGTGTCAAGAATCATGGAACAATTAATATTAGTCTTTTGACGAAAAACTTCAGGATAAAAGAATCTGCAAAACATGAAATGCCAGGTTACCAAACATTACAA